CGTTCATAATTTTTGGATGACCAAGTATTATTATAGATTCTTCATGATTATTTTAGTGATAGTCATCTATTTACAAAAGAAAGTCTATTTAAAGAAGATGAGGAGAATAAAGAGTTTCGTTTTTGTTTTAAAGAAGACATTTTCTTACGCTTATTTAATTATATTCCTATACATATAAAGCTATGTATGTATATATGTATGTAACAGACGGGAATGTAATGTTATTCACCTTTTTAAATTATCCGATGTTGGCTCTAACCCAGAGATAATATTTTGAATTATTTATAAAACAACCAAACATTTCTGTCCATTCCATTTTACATTGATTCAATTCTATTATAAAAATAAACATAACAATACGTATTTTATGACGAAAACATAATATATGAAAAAGAAATTGAATAGTTAGAAATTGTCTATATACATAGAAAGAGTTCATCACTATAGCACTTATATATAAGTATTATATACTATATATATGTATATATGTATTTTAATAAGTCATGAATAACTCCATTGTTTTGCTATAAACATGTAATCTCCGAATGATGTCATCGCTCCGTGTAAACAAGATGTGTAAAATATTAAAGCAATTCTTTAGTGGATTCGGGTCGCGTAATCGTTTGAAGCATATGCTATACAATAATTCAGCTTTATTTTGGTCATTAGTCTCATTTATTGCTTGTAGTCATTGTTTTTGTTTATATATATAATACTAGCTGCGCCCCGCGGTGTTACCTGCGAATTTCTGGGATGTAAAGTAGCCTATGTGTTATTCCTGAACGTCAGCTTCCTGTATACAAAATTTTATCAAAATCGGTTCTGCCGTTTGAGCGTGAAGAAGTAACAAACATACACACACACAAACTTTCGCAATTATAATATTATTGGGATTACTTTTTAATTATTGAGATCAATCAGTTGTATCTGTATAAATAGCGTCTATTTTCTGTAGAAACAGTAGATCGTAAAACGCTAATCGAATTAAGCCTCTGTCTGGCCTTGTGATTTTATATTAATGCCCAAACGAGGTGCCGGTGGGCTTTTTGTGGGTGTAGTGTTATTTAAAGTTACTCAAACGAGATGTTTTGTTAAAATTAATTTAGAAATTTATATGGAAAATGGCTTTAAGACTAATTGGGAGAATCGTGGTAGGGAAGTTTTCCATTACATAAGTTCATATGAAAATAAATATGTATTATTTATGGACAGCGCCATCTATTGAAGTTTAATGGAAGCTATATTATCAAGGACATTTATTCATTCAAATATTTGCAGACCCATACCGTTTGATATGTAATGAGAGGACGATCATTTGTATGGATATCAGTTATTAAGTAAACATTGATAACGTTATCAGATATCAATTCGCGTTATTTAATACACGCTAGTTCTGTTACAGCGATGTATTTTTAATAATATTGATAAGATTAAAGAAGTGACATTGAATTTAGCAATATATTTATATATATATTTTTATTATTGTTAGTTTTTGATAATGCTAATAATCCTATGTTTAGATTATGATTAGAAAAATGTACTATGAAATTTATATTGCTTATTGTATGGGGTATATTGTTTAAGCTCTTGAACTTTATGTGAAGCTGTTGAAGCTACTTGATCTACGAATGATAGTTCACGAGTTCTTGATGCTCTAAGCATCGAGAAAGAGAGAGAGAAAGATAGATAGAGGGAAAGAGATAGATAGACTTTAGGCCCATTCTAAAAAATTTCAATCTTATAAAGAAATCATGAGAAAAAAGTAATTAAGTTCATTAAAGGTGTTTTATAATCAACAAATCATAGACTAACCTAGACCTTGAAGCCGTTACATAGGTTCAGAACTATAGAAATAGACTCGTGAATAGCACCAATGGACCATAAACAAGCTGATTGGACAGAAAACAATTACGCTATGTTACGATAACTGTTTAAGGCATACAAATATGACAGAAATAAAAATATATTACTGTGTTAGCATGGATCTATCATAGTAGGTACTTGGTTATGCATGCACGATGTTTATGCATGCAAAAATGTATGCACGGATCACGCATGACCTGAAGAACTAGTTAGTATATATACAAAGGAAGTATGCAAGTCATATCATAGAAGTTACTACATGTATTTGATAAATTAAGAAATTATTTCGAATAGGAAAGTTATGAAAATATAAATTAAATTTGATTTACGTTGGAGTAAAATCAATCGTGGTGCTAAATAAGAAGTACATTGGATTTTTTCATTTTAAAATATAACTATCAACAAATGTAATGGTTTGTTTTGTATATAAATAACATATTCAAGTAAAAATATTATATATTTATTTATGATTAATTTTTAGGTTTCTATATTTAATAATAATAATTAATTATGCGAAAGTCATGTCTGCATTAAATTTTAAGCAAAAATGAACTGTGAATTCAACCATACATTTATTTTTACATGAATTTATTAATCAATATAATTTTTTGTTATATAAAGGACATATATTTGACGAGTTCATTTATAATTCTATCTTAGTAGTACACGAGATACGAGATACCTATCACGACGTCAATAAGTGATCTTCGGTAAACATGTACATTTGTAATCCGCAAATATTTGCAAATATAAATATATTATATGGCGCTTGTTGAAATATTTCCTTGTTAGAAAAACGGTTTGAATTTTTACTTTGCAGTATTCACACAATCGTATAAGTTGTCTTTAGAATTTATCTAAAATATGAATTAAGAATGATTTTATCTCTCTTTTTCCTAAACAAAAAAAAAATGTATGTTGAGTGAAATAAATTGAGCATTTCAGTCGTTAAAATGTAACCGATTATCACAAAGTCTTTAAGATATAAAAATTAAAGTACAAGCATGATACTTTTATAATCATACATATATTTATTACCTTTTAATATGAGGCATACATATGTTATAAAGGGACAAAATAAAGCATTAATTTATGATTACATTTCTGTGTCAATGAGACAAGAGCTTTTTGTTATTTATAACCCAAAACAACACCAAATATGGCATCACCCGACCTTCGTGGACATAATTTAGTTTCAATGCTAGATTAAAAGGAAAATTTGCAAAACTTTGGTTATTAAAGAGGTCGTGAGGTTTGAAATCACTACTTCCTGTTGAAAAGGTGATTTATAATCTTTATGTTTGTATTTTTAGAGGTAGTAAGTAGTTTTGCATTTAGACACAAGCATCTACCTCGTTTGTTCTTATATTACTTGTAATACAAATAAAGTCCACTTAAAAAACTGATACTATTTCTAAGAAGATTAAAATTTTATACCTTAATTTATATGAAAACTCTTGTAGTTACTACAAATAAAAATCTTCTAACTCAAAGTTAGCGTGGGTGATTGACAACTGAAAAATATATACCCATTAATAATGTATATAGAAATAAATTATTAATAAATTTCATAAATGATGATACATTAAAAACACGTTGAAATAATGTAATTATTTAAAGCGGTATATAATTTCTTTTTGTTATATAATGTTACAAAAAACTTCAATTATGTATAAAGCAGATTATACTAAAGCGTGTTATCGATGTTTGTATATTATCGATGTTTAATAAGTACTTCACTATTATACGAGTATATTTGTCACTTAGTCATAGTGTAGTGGAATATTAGGCAAATTATTCTATGGTATAGAATAGAATCTATGCAGTATTTTTCGTAGCCATACATTCCTAAAATTACTGCTTTTTATTCCGCTCTTACTGATATACATATAACAGGAGCTATTGTATGGCCATGAACATACGTCATTAGAGACGAAGCTTTTATAATAATTTGCTGTTTCTTAAAATTTGCTACTTTTTATGGGAAAAAAATAAAATTATATTTTTTTTCGAAGGGGAAGTGTTCCAAGATTTATTTATATATTAAAACCGACCTAATGAGCTGTGTTGTACGTTAAAAATGCTTTCTACTCATATAATCAATGTTTTTTTATACAAATTCATATCAATACACTAACATACATTAGTAACTTTGTTCATATACATAGTTAATTTCCTATCCTATGATAAGAATATAACGACACTCCTATAACAGCTATTGGCTTATCAAATTTGCTGTTTACATTATGTCTAGGTTTACAAAATGTACTGAATGTACTCGTATTTTTTCATAATTTTTATATCTATATATAAAAGAAAGTCGTTTAGTTACACTATCTATAACTTAAGAACGGCTGTACGGATTTGGGTGGAAATTTGTGGGGAGGTAGGTTGGAATCGCAGACGGACATAGGATACTTTTTAATTTGTTTGACCAAAAAAATTTCTAAGAATATCTGGTTAAATGTACTGCCTTTAAATAGAAACAGTTCGCTTGGTCAGCTATACATTTCTAATTATGAAAGTAACGCGGACAAAGTCGCGGGCAAAGCTAGTTTCTTATATACCAGCAACCAATTTAACATAATATGCAATTCAAATACATTCGGAGGAATTTGTTTGAATTACGGTTAAATAATAATTAAAGACATACTAATTAGTATCTAAGTGTATAAGATGTTTCTATCTAAACGACAGCGAATTAGAGCTCTACATATGACGAAATTATAGATTATTCTTTCATATTTTCATACTTAGTCAAATTTTTGTTCAGCACGTCCAACCAGTATGACATTGCTAGCAGGGGTCAATGAACTCTGAACTGTTAATAAGTTTAAACTTACAACCTCTATACAATATCTAGTTACACATTAATAATCCGTTAGGATAACGTTTATATATTTTTTATCAATATTGATCTTGAACCACATTATTATAATAACTAAACCGTTATTTAAAATTATCATACAATTAGGTGGTATTAATATGAAAAATTATACGAGAAAAAATTATTTAATCTTATCTATTACTAAGTATATGAGAGTTTTAAAACGTTCTCACTATTAACGAAGATAGACATACATATATATGTGCATTCTATTGTATGTATGTATATATTATTTTGAAGTACTATATGTATGTATTATATTACAGTAGTGTACTGCGACTACAGCGGCTCGGGTCGATCATTGCAGTGGATCGAGGATTATGTCACGCGGGACGTTCTGCCACGTCACGCCACGCGTTGCTCAGCACTATCCGTGACATCGGGACAGACTGAGGTTTATAGGTAAGTTATATTCATATATATATACATACTAGCTGCGCCCCGCGGTGTAAAGTAGCCTATATGTTATTCCTGGACGTAAGTTTCCTGTATACAACATTTTATCAAAATCGGTTCAGCTTTTTGAGCGTGAAGAAGTAACAAACATACACACACACTAACAAACTTTCGCAATTATAATATTAGTAGGATTAGTAGGATATGATTCGCGTCCCAACACGCTTATTTAACCCGTTCAATTAGTGTGCTAAGTCTATTTCTACACTCTATAATTACACGGCGTATTGCTATATCAAGGAAATGCTTAAGGATTAAATGAAATTAATATGCTTTTACTAGCTTTCCGCCCGCAGCTTCGCCCGCGTGGAGTTCGGTTTTATCGCGTTTCCAAGAGAACCTTTCAAGAGTCTGGGATAAAAACTATCCTATGTTCTTTGTCAAGGTCAACTCTATATCTGTACCAAATTTCATTAAAATCAGTGCAGTGGTTTAGGCGTGAAAGCGTAACAAACAGACAGACAGAGTTACTTTCGCATTTATAATATTAGTAGGGATTATAAATACACAAATACTTATATCAAGGGATTTTTCTTAGTAATCTTTTCTAAACACTTTTGATAACAGTTGTCTCATGTAGGTATACATTATGTAAATTCATGTTAAATAAATTTTCTTGACCCGTAGTTCATTTAGAATATTCAGAACGCTGATTGCAAAACATCTCGGTTTAACTTAGTCGGTCGACCTTGAGGGATTGTCCTTGAAACTAAAATTCGCTTTCGCCTTTTATAAACGACATGTCATCAAATCTTTTATATAATTAATATTAAGTTCGGTTATATCGCGTTTCCAAGAGCACCTTCCAAAAGTCTGGGATAAAAACTATCCTATGTTCTTTCTCAAGGCCAACTCTATATCTGTACCAAATTTCATTAAAATCAGTTCAGTGGTTTAGACGTGAAAGCGTAACAGACAGACAGACAGACCGATAGACAGAGTTACTTTCGCATTTATAATATTGGTAGGGTGTTCTTTCTCAAGGCCAACTCTATATCTGTACCAAATTTCATTAAAATCAGTTCAGTGGTTTAGACGGGAAAGCGTAACAGACAGACAGACAGACCGATAGACAGAGTTACTTTCGCATTTATAATATTGGTAGGGATAGTATAGTTGTATGATCTTTACATAATTTTCGCCTTTCTATGCCAAAAAAGATAGTATTATTTATATATATTAGTTATTATAATATGGACTTTCTTATTGGAGTTATTTTTATTGATAGTAAGTCATAATGTCTTGTATAGGTCGGAGTCGAAAGAGATTTTACGATCAGCTGTAGGGGCTAGTGATGAAGATGTAGTGGTTATTGGAGCGTCTCTGAACCAGTTCCTACGAGCTCTGAGGCCGGAGAATGTGGTCGTGTTTGTATCATCACGGGAGACTGAAAGACAACTTACACCGTGGAAGGAGTTTGGGGCTGAGGTATGAAAATATTCAACCATACATTTTTATTACTTACGAGCTGCGCCCCGCGGTGTTACCTGATTTCCGGGATGTAAAGTAGCCTATGTCTTATTCCTGGACGTCAGCTTCCTGTACACAAAATTTTATCAAAATCGCTTCAGCCGTTTGAGCGTGAAGAAGTAACAAACATACGTAACACAAACTTTCGCAATTATAATATTAGTAGGATTTCTCGTATTATATGCTTCTACTTGTTGTGACAATAGTTCTTTACAATATTTCCGTGCACATTATACATATATGCAAATAAGCACTGCTTACCTTGCCCATCAGAAAATATGCTACCATGAATTTTTAATACTTATTTGTCGTATTGTAAACTTCTACTTGGTCTGACAACAGTTCTTTAAAACATACGTGGACACCATACCAGTTAATAAGCACTGCTTACTCTACCCATGTATATTGTTTAATTTTTACTTACATACTTTTAAGCATACAATACGAAATATAAATGTTACATTCATTTGATTCTTGATTTAGAGGAGGATATTATGATCAAAATTGGTAATGATTTTTCAAATATATATTCTACTTAACCTACCATAATGTCTGTGCACGCCCTTGCTTTGAAACAGACTTTATAAATGTAATAAATATAATAATAACTATAATATGTACCTTATCTAAGCGCACGGTAGTGCGCCGGCCAAGTTCCACAGGCCGGCGCATGCCGTGCACTATATTTACACGAACCGTTTCGACCCACTTTTGACCCCCCTGTAGCTCAGAGCCTATTGCAAGTACAGAGATAAAATTTTACCTACGTAATCATATACTAGAACTAAAGCAGTATGCCAAATTTCATAGATAAAGCTTCAGTAGATCCTGAAATATGACCCTGTGAAAATAGCAAATTTTGGCACTGACTCACTGACAGGTAATCAAAACCTTTATATAGGCGCTCAGCTCAGCACAATAAAATACATAATAATGAAATATTAATGATTAATAACATGAGTACATCTTTCAATCGGTGATAAATGAAACTAAAAAATAAAAAATAAATATAGTTTTTAAAAAAAACTAAAAAAAACACGCTCCAATGATGAAAGAAACCGCGTGGAAACTAATTTAACCTTTACAACCTTGGAAATCAATTTAATTTAAATTGTTTAAAATAAACAATAAATGGTATTATTGAAAAAAAAGCGTGGGGCGCTTCTCAAGAAGTGATATATGAAGCTCATCACGCTTTTTTTTCACAGAAATACCATTTATTGTTTGTTAATTTATTTTTAAATTAATATTATTGTGAAAAAAGTGTGGGGCGCTTCTTAAGAACTGATATATATATATACATATAAGGGATAAAAAATATTGTCATGTATACATTATGCACACTGTATAACTTAATTAAATATTGCTTACCTAAAAAATCAGGTTTCTATTGTTATAAATTACTTTCGATAGATGGTGCTAGCGGTATAATTGAATCGCGATATTGTTTTGTCTGCAGTATATATGAATGAAAGTCGATAAGGAATCGATGGTCATTTCTTTCTACACTTATATCTTGATATCTTATATATGGTTACGATTACGATTAAATGGATCACTGATTTGACTTGCTAAAGGATTAATTTTGATATTGCTTATTGATTGATTACTTGTGTGTGTTAAAAGCACAAATTCACTCTATTTCTTTTCTACTATTCATTTACCAACGATGGAAATTGTACATCTTTCGGTGGTTGGCGGAGATATACCACATAGGGTAATTCCTTTGCCATCAGATGGTAGCTGTATGTTTCATGCTGTAAGTTATGCATTGTACGGCTGTATAGTACGATTGTATGTACGATTTCTTGAAAAAAAGTATTGAAATCTCACCAAAAACATGCCTGTTAAAAAGGGGGCCAAGTTCCAATCGGCTAATTGTTTGCCTAAAAAAGGGGTGAAATCCAATCTAATGCCAAGTTTAGATGCACTTTGAAATCGATCATAATCATCTTCATCAACAGCATGATCCACTGGTAAATATTTGCCATTCCCAAGACTCGCCACCACACCCAGTCCTCTGCCTTCCACATCCAGCCACTACCCGCCACCTTATTCACGTCAACGGTCCATCTGACCGAAATTCACTTTACCATACACCCAACTTAAAATATGGTATAGTTGTGAAAATACGTAGGTGCTTGGTTAAAAATATCTAAAATTATAATACTTCTAAATTTGAACTTGGCAGGTTAATTTAATTATTTAAATTTAGTATATTTAAATTATATAAATATAAATAATTATATAACTTAATAATAAATTAATGATACAATTAATTAAGTGTTACGTACAGCACAAAAATCAATTGGTTTATACGTTTTTAAAGACATATTTTTTTGCTAAACTCTTTATAAACTGCAAACGAGATAGCGTTCGCTACGTATAAGGAAAACGCTTAACCTATTTTTCTGCTCGGAACCATCTCAATGATGAAGATTTTCATTTGATTAAAGTAATAATTTAAATTCTAAAGAAGTTATGTCAAAAATTTTTTTATATTTATATTAGCAAATTGGTTATAATTTTTATATACTACAATTGTCATTATATGTATGTACATTTATTATATAACTATAAATATAAAATATAATTGATTTTTGAAAACATTACTAATTTTCTTCTCAAACTCTTTCGATTCAAGATTTTATCAAAATAACTACTATATATGTATATACAAAGTTTCAAACTTTGCGTCGTCCTAGAATAAGCAACCAAATATATGTAAAAAACATTATTAAACAAATAATCTGACGGTCTGTATCCGCAATGTAAAACTAGTTTAATAATTTTAATATAAATGACAAACAAACACACGTACTTATACTTATATGTAATTTGCCGAAACAGTAGTATTGACAGTCTAAAACCCAGATGAGAACAAAGGCGATCGATATGACTAGGAAATAATAAAAATAATTCTATAGAATAGATCAAAGATATCATTATATATATTTTATAACATTAAAAACAACTCCAAGGTCATTGACCCTTCTAACACTGCCATAATTTCGGCGCGCTTTGCCTGCACCGTCTATTTTTAAGCAGGCAATGTCAACTGGCTTCTCAGAATTTAGAACAATTGTAATTTGAATGCCAAATAATCTTGTGTTAGCATAATATTATATAGATATCGTTTTTTATATTATAATATAGAAGTTATTTAAAAGAAAACTTGCAGTACGCTGCCTAAGTTCTTATGTACATATGTAAATTTGCAAAATTCAATATTTTCTATAAATGGTGCATATTCAAGTAATTTGTTGAGAGCTGTTGAGGTTTTGTTCCGTAGTTTTATTATATTTTTAGTAAAAAGTTGGTTTTTCTATTGAATTGAACTGAGAATTTTTGCTCAACTTGCTTAATTTTTGTAAACAATTGAAAGAGCAAAACTATTCATTTTATTCATTTGTATGTTCGCAAATAAAAGAACTTCAAAAAAACTATTGCATTTTTTATGCTCAAAGAAATTACAATGGAAAAAATTTTGGAATATTGAAATGAGTGTATTTTTACAGATAATCAAGATACCAGAAACTAAAGAAGGTTTTATTGATCTGAACAACTTAGAGATGAGATTACAAGAGAATACGGATAATGGAAAACGTATGATAGGATTCTTTCCAGCCGCTTCAAAACTCACTGGAGTTTTGGCTGATGATGTAGCTACGACGTTGTTGCTTCACCAATACGGCGCTTGGTCTTTTTGGGACTATACTTTAGTAGCACCAACTTGTGCTGTTGATATGAATCCGACTTTTTTGGGAGTTGAAGACGGTATGGTGAAAAAAGATGCGCTGTTTTATAACTGCGAGAAATTCGTTGGCGGCATTCAAGGGCCTTACATCACTGTTGTGAAGAAACACGTCTTCACGAACACATCGATATATCACGACGACGTTGAGGTTTGTACTTTAAATAACATTGAGGAGTTCCGTTATTTAGTTAACCCAGTTAAAGGTTTATGATTTTATACTAAACAAATCGTCCGTCCTTAACTACATATAAAGAAATAATAATGTTTATTGTAGCGACATGTTTGTTCAAATCATTGTCATATAATATCGGATTGTTTATGTAATAAGTCATAGAAATATAACCAGACATAGCAATTGTGAACTCGCTGCAAACTTTAAGTATTGAAATATAACTAAGTTTACTTTGGTATAGAGATGACCAGTGGCGGCTGTACCTTAAGTGCACTCGTGCGCTGAACCACCAATTCAAAAAATTTTAAAATTACAAAATATTCCTTCGTCTTTATTTTTATATCACCATCTTAATATTTATTTTTTAAACATATAAAAACGTATAAAAAATTAAATTTTCTAATTATGGTCAAAAAGTTTGAGCGCTTTACTAAACTCATATCGTGCGCTTCGGCGAGTGCACAAGGACTGCTAGTACATTTTGTATGAGATACGAAATAATACGCCTGACGCGTGAAACAAAAGATAGTTCATAGAAATGTACCGAGTAATGAGTCGGTTGTCGAGCGCCGCACGAGCGACCGAAGGTTACCGAGAGCACCCGATGTATGTCGAATTGAGCCATGATTGACATCTCGTTATGTTTTGTTGCATTTTCTAATTTTAATATTTTAGTAAAGTGCACCACCGGTTCGATTACCCACCAGCCGCCACTGGAGATGACTTAAACATCAATGTATTGAGATTTAAATAGATCCTAAACTAGTGCAAATTTCGCCATTAGCACTTATTAAAATCAATTCTTTACTTTGAATAGATTTATCTTCTAAAACGTTCCCATTCTGATGTGTCAAAATTTTTTATCTCACAATAGATCTTAGAAGTTCATGTTTTGGTTCTCAAGGTACTAGCTGAAAGGATATCAGAGTACAAATGCACAGAGGCAGTAAGAGCAGCTATCGTAATGCAGATACGAGATGGAGTTGGTCTTCAGAACATAGCTGATAGACAAGACCATATTACCAAGTAAGTTATTATTTCATATTAATTGTATATACATACAATATAAGATTTTTCCTGTGGTGGCCTAGTGGTTAAAGGGCCCGCTTCTCGTTGCCGAGGGTGCGGGTTCGATCTTGGCCCGGGCAAGTACCAATGTGGTTTTTCCGAGTCATATGTACTTTCTAAGAATATTTAGACATCACTGATTAATGCTGATTCCCGAAAGAGGGTTGATGTCAGGCAGTCAGCCGGTCGTAAAAGCAAATAGCCAAAACTATTCATAACATGTAAGGCAGACCCTGGCTATAGCTGGGAAATTGCCAGGAAGAAGAAGACATACAATATAAGATTTTGGTGCCAAATTTAGAGACTATGAACTTTTTGTGCCTAAAAAATTTATATCGAAATGTATCGTTGATAGAAATTAGGACAAACAATTTTTTAGTAAAATTTATACGCTATGAACTTTAACCTAAAACAATACTATCGAAATGTATAGGTAGAAATCATTTATTTAATATTTTTGTCTAAAGTTATACAGGGTGACTGGTGAATTACTATCGATACTTGAGGATGTGATATTTGACGATCATATATGACAAAATAAAAATTAATATAACATAAATATTAATAAACTTCTTAGTAAAGTTAACCAAAAGTTATGTAATTAATTACGCATCGTGTGAACACCCTACAGATTAGGTATACACACACATACACACACGCGTGCGGCGGCGTGCTGATACAACACTACGCCGCCGCACGCGTCCACACTTGGAACACTTGGAACGTGTCCACACTTTATTTATTTATACGGAAATTTGGTCAAAAATTAAGTACCTATTTTTTTTTCATAATTCGAATTAGAATCATGTACCGAGTATTCTCCTTAAATATTGATAGTAATTCACCAGTCACCCTGTATATTTGTTTATTATACAGTGAATATGACATTAATCAACCATAGATCCTATAGAAGGTAGATAGCCCAATATTTAGTTAAACTTTGTGTTCCTCAAATTATTATGCACATAATGAATACAACGTCCAAAAGTACTATGTTCGAAATGATATTTTTATTTTGGAAGCAATATTACTATGTTTTTATTGATTAAAACAAATTCACATCTATGCTTAACGATTTAATTATGAGATTTATCTAATTGCTCCTCATAACTACGTGCTGGCTTTGTTTTCGATTATTGATTGAAACTAAAGAAATTGAAGCCTTGAGATGAATTTTTCCTTTTTTTAAAAATTTGATTCGGTAATAACAATAGTTTACTATGGGTTGTCTTCCATTGAAACTTCACACTAGTTAATTCGCCCTAATGCTATATGTGTTTATGGAGCTTTACGTTCGAAAAATTATTTATTTTTATATATGTACCAAAAAGAAAAAATAATACTTGTACTCATTCAATAAGCCTATATTTTGATCAATTTTTTCATTGTTTTGAATAAGCATTCTCTTGAAGTGTAAATCATAACACCCTAAAGTTATTCGGGTCATTCGGGGTCGTATTCTCTGGCGAGGCTGCTGACGTATGTCATCACGATATTTTGGCAGCGGAATGTATGGTGCTAGATAGATACAAACTATATATTACATATTCACACATAATAAACTTTATACGACATCAATTTCATACGATCGTACTGAAATTCTATTTTCAATGTTTTTTTCCGTGTTTTTTTTTTGGTTCATCTTATATATAAAATTCTAGTGTCACTATATTTGTTCCCGTATTCCTCCGAAACGGCTTGACCGATTCTTATGAAATTTTCTGAGCATATTGAGTAGGTCTGAGAATCGGCCAATATCTATTTTTCATACCCCTAAGTCATAAGGGTTGTTAACCAATATTTTTGGACCAAATTTTGTTGTTTTTATTTTTTTTAAATGGACATTAAAAATACATACAACCCAAAATTTTTGCTTTTTTATCGCCAACCCCTATTTTTTATATGGCAAAACAACGTTTGCCGGGTCAGCTAGTATTATAATTATATTTATATGATTAAGTATTTTATATACATAGAAGTTCTCGCCTACATAAAACCCTGAATGACTTTATTATATGTAGGTTATATATAATGTTTCTCAATAAATACAATATAATAAACTGTGTCAAGAATAAGACATAAAATTAATATATATGTATTACTCCAAGCTTGTTTGTTGTGTTATCTGGTGACCCTCGGTTAAAATATTAACATACACTCCCACGGAATATATACCAACAGGAAACATTATGAAAATCATTATTATAACTAATAAAGTAATATAACAGATGAGATTTTATTCATCTCTGTCTAGGAACAAATCGGAATAAAAAATTACAATTACTAATCAAATACATAAATAGTATATTGCTTAGATGAAGATCGACGTGAAGTAGCCTTCAGTTGGCTACGTTTCGTCCGATGAGTTAGAAAGCCTATTCCCTCCCTTTCCTTGTATTTCCCAATTCCCACCCCTCCCTTTTCCTCAACAATAGAGGTTGGCAACGCATTCATAACATCTACATATGTTGCGGATGTCAATGGGCGACGGTAACTACCTTCCATCAAGTAGGCCGTCAGCTTATTTGGCAGCTTTGACATAAAATAAGTTTAAATTAACCGCTTTCATTGATTTCATTAAGATCTAATTACCACAAATTTTTCATCGTCACTACTAGCGAAGCGTACCGCGTTTCAATAATCTACCTTAATACTATAATTTGAGAAGATTTATAAATAAAAAACTATTTACGCGTCGTAAACTGTTACAATTCAAAACTTGTTGTAAGCATACTGTAATGTCTTTCTATATATACTAGCTTTGGTTTTCAGATCAATGAAATTAAATAAATATTTATATGACATTTTAATAGTTGTATTTTTTCTGAAGACACTTCATTACTGTTTGCTAACTCGTTAAAATAACAAAAACATCCGTTACTCAAACTTTAAACTGAGACTTGTTCTTGTCAAAATACATATTTGCTTTTTATTTAGCTTATGTGTAACAATATTTTGATTTTGTTCTTTCGATTAGGTAAATTAATATGGAAAAGATGACCTTCTCAATATTAATTAACACATTTATTAAAATTAAGTGTGTAACAATTAAAAATTGTATACTGGCTATTCTTAATACACCTTTTTAATTATAATTGCAGTTTGTAATATTTGTGTTTTCTTAAGATAATTTTACGTGAGGATAGTTGCTCTGTTCTTTCTAAATCAAATTCATAATGAAGTCTTTAAAAAAATATATGAAAATTACTGCATTAATAAATGTACCAAATAAAATGAGAAAATTTAGAAATTGTATTTGTTTAAATAGAATAAACATTTCTTTTATTGATCTTAAAGTCTACTTTATTTATCTTATCTTGATAGGACCGTACATCTTATCTATACTACCTATATTGTTCTATATGGGATAATTAATTCATAACCACATATGAACAATGAGGAAGTTCAGAGGGTATTTTGAATCAATTTTCAGTTTCCCATTTAAAACCGTTTCCGCATTATGACGCTGCGGAAAAAATAGCGAAGTTCCTTGTGTCGCAGAGGAAATTTAAATTGCATTTTCCTTTATATTAAACGAATACGGCATATATACTACGAGATAAAATAAATGCATTTAGTTGCGTATTTTATGTCTTAAATTATTGTTTATCGTATCTAAGACAATTTAACCTAATTTTAACAAACATTTATATTATTTTATTCTAATATTAATGTTTTCCTGTTGGTTTTGGTCAAAAAACATTGTTTTGCTTCAGTAGGTCGTTGAAATGGGTCAGGAATTGCTCGTACCGAAATAGATCGTTGCTAGCTGACTATGCGGCGCCGCTTCAATTACATGTACGGTCAGCAGACAAAATTATATAAGGTTGATAATAACAAAGATAAAATATTTTCATATACATAGAAACTATATAAAATATATACGGGAAGTTTGAATATACGTAAAATTAATTTAAATATACACGTTTATTTATAATTAAACTCAGATATTTTTTTATATCGTAATATGTACTAAGCTTTATATGTCAAATTTATGACATTGACAGATAAATATATTAAAAGTAAACACCATAGACTCTACATATAGTGTCTCCTATCAAAAAGTATATGTTTTAATATGTTATATAATATATAAAGTTTATTTCCAGTCCGGTAATCCAATACGTGTGTAAATAGATGTGCGAATCTGCGCACACGCAGGCCTCAAGGGCATTGCTAATTTTTATCTGAGCGGTGTTTTTCGCTCAAACCGTTTCACATGGCGTTCGTGCTATCAGAATGTATTTTATTTGTAGTACTAGAGATTGATTTATATAATGTTAAATTATAATATAGCTTCCTTTATATGAAGCGAGAAGAAAATTGTTTATAACCTTATGAACAGATTTAAAACCATGTTTTTCATATTTTATCTCTATTATTATTATTTAGCTTTTTTGATTATTTTTTACTTAAAACTTAATGTATTTTATGTCCAATTTAATAAATGTCAATCATTATAATATTGACATATAATTTGAGATAATATTAACGTTTAACATAGAAGGAAATAACGCATTATTTTTTTGTTAGAAAGAAAATTGCCAATACTTACTATCTCATGTGTCTTTAATCGAGTTGTGTTCATTAAATGAGGCGAATATTTTCAAGCGTTATTTAAATAAATATTATGGCTTGTGCTGCCTACAAACAATATAAATAACTGCTACAATGCATAATTATTTTCTTTTTTAATAGTAACACTATGTAATATTAGCATAATGATTATATAATACGATGACGTCAATGATTGATTGCCTTCTACGTAGTAATTATGTAACATTTTTTATACATATTAGGAAAAATGCATGACTGATTACAAATACTATGAATCAGATGAGAGTTTTTTCATATATTCTCAACATTGAAATGAATCATTTTGTAATACATGACTATGTATGTGTATGTTATAAAATTTAATGCACAATAATTTCTTTCTTTCTAATTCCTAAAGAGGGTTGATGTCAGGCAGGCGGCCGGTCGTAAAAACAATTAGCCAAAACTATTCACAACATGTAAAGCAGACCCTGGCTAAAGCTGGGAAATTGCCAGGAAGAAGATGAAAAAGAATTTCTTTAATATTGTATTAAGGCGATTTAGGAATCATAACATTGATTTCTTAATTATTTTTTATATAAAA